GGGGGCGCGTGACCGGGGGAAGGGGACGGGGAGAAGTGTGAGGGGAAAGTGGATGGGGGCGAGGGAAGAGAAAGGGGGCGTTCAGAGTCTATGAGGGCGGAGGGAGCGAGGAGACTTGAAACGTGGGGAGCACCGCTGGGACGGAGTGTGCGGGGAGTCGGGTCCCGGAGGTGAGGGGAGGGACCTGGCAGATGGAGGCTGGCTTTGGGGGCGTAACCGAAAAGTGGGCAGAGGTGTCGTGTGGGGTGAGTGGAAGATGCAGGGGGTGGGAGCGAGGCGTGAGGAGGAGTGGCGGGCGGTGGGGGCGCCCCGTGCGGAGGGCTGGCGCTGGGAGCAGGAGTCGGTGGGCGCTGGACGCCTGCACGGGGAGGGGGAGGGGCATGGAGCAGAGCCCCGTGCAGCCATGTGTTACTTCTCCAGCTTGAGTTTGGCCCCAGCATCCCTCTCTACTACGCTGGAGTTCCATTCTCCACCACTTCACGTGCGCTTCCCTTTATGCCACCTCCTGGAGCTGATTTCTTCTCAGCCCTTTGGAATAAGTTAGTTTAACGGCTTTTACCGTGGTGCAAATGCCACGCTCCCTACATTCTTCTCCCTGTGTCCCAGAAGTTGTATGTTCCCAGATTGTTGACCTGCTTAATATGGCTGTCTCATTCCAACCATAGTTTGTGTGCGAGCGTGTGTGTGTGTGTGTGTGTGTGTGTGTGTAGCGGGGAGAGACCTGGGCAGTTTTGCCCCCTGCCTTTCTACTCCCTTCATCCCCCCTACCCACCAAGGCTGTTTTGTCCTGGGCATTGCAGCCAACGTGGCAGTGGGGTGAGGGCTACAGTCAAGTGCACGGTGGCAAGTACCCCACTTTCTGAACAGCACTGAAATGGGTTCTTAATAACAGCTTGATGTGGTGGCTGTGGGGAAACTAGGGAGAAGCAAACTTAACCTTGCTTTCATACTCCAATCTGTGACTGATCCCACAAATGCAAGTACTTAGGAACGGGAAAAGGAACCTACTTGCATGAGGAGGTTGGCAATAAGTTGAAAGTGAGGCTTGTATTTGATTCACACCAGATGTGAAAAGATCATTGCACACTTCCAAAGCCGGAGCCTCTACCAAATGTACAAAAGTCATGATCCCTGCCATCTTAACGGTTAATGACATTCTCTAAACCAGAGTCTCTTGAGCTTCTGATGATTACTAAGCCTAGTTACTGCACATCTTCCTGCTTCTGCGGGGCTATTACAGAGTAGTAGCTACTGCAGGGCTACTCCTTGCTAGGTAGGAATGGGATTAAGAGGATCTCAGGTAGAAAGCTCCCAAGTCTTTCTGGACTTTTCACTGTATATGTTAGCATCACATCTTGGGATGCAGAAACTTGGTCAAATCCGGTAGCAAGATGGTGACCAAGTAGTAAAAGTATGTTTAGAATCTGGTGGTGCAGAGTAAGGCAATGCCCAGACTAACTCATGCCTATCATGAGTTATAAAGCAAACCACACGACTACAAACTTGTTGGTTTTGTTTGGGCTTCCTTGAAACCCCGGGAAGTTGGTAGAACAAGAACCAGAACCTTAGTCACTTTTAGTGGAAAACAACAGAAAGCCTACCTGTATAGCAGCTGGAAACTGATTAGCAATCATATTTTAAGATCAGTTATTTTGTGTCTACTATAGAACTGATATTAAAAGGACAATTGCTGGTGGATGCTGTGGAAGGGAGAAGAATGTAGGTTTGGATGTCTGGGTTCATTACACGGCCTGCTCCTTTTATAGAGCCAGAGGCCCTGGGATACTGGTAGAAATGTAGGAAGCTAGAGCTCTGCATAACTTGTCAGGTGATTTAGGGTAAGTTGGGTGGACTCTTGCTTATAGATTGGGCTGATCAATAATTTATCCACTTATTAATATCCCAGAAGCTTTAATAAGGCATTTGCCTAGTTGGTAGTGGGGGGGATTATTTGTAGATTTTCGGTATGGCAGGAGAGGGGAAAAAATAGGAGGAGGAGAGAGTAGCCAGAGCATATGGCCTTCTTTGTGGCCAGGCATTAGGGGAATGTACCTGGCCTCTGTTTTGGCGGCACGTCAGGGCTTTTACATGTTAACTTAAGCCCATGTATGTGTTCACATTATTTCTATTCCTTGGCCTTGGAAAGCACCAGAGGTGGTTTTCTCTAGGACAGTAGAGTATATGGGATAAAAGGAAACTCCTTGTAGTCATAAACCTTTAAGAGAATGGCACTGGGAGCTGGAATGCCTGGGTTTTAAATCCAGGTTCTGCCATTTACTAGTTGTGTGACTTTGAGGAAGTTCTTTCTGTGTCTTAGTTTCCTCATCTGTGGATAACAATATCTATATCATAAGAATTAAATGAGTTAATAGATAGAAAGTGCTTAAAACGTGCCTGGCACATGAGAAATTTATAAAAGTGTTTACTGCTGCTTATATTATTATTCCCTCTGCTCGCCAACGTGAGAGCACTGTTGGCCAGAGCCCATTGCCTTTTCAGGCTTCAAAGAGCAAACCCAGATTGATCTGAAACCAGTACTACAGGTTTCAGAATTTCAGGGCCTCCTCTTGCATTTTTATTCTCTCATCTTTTAAAATGAGCTTTCTAAACAGAGCTCTGAAACCCAGCTGTTTAAAAAGGCATGTGAGCTGGGACTGGGCTTCAGGAACAATTAAGTGTCGTCCCTGTTTCTCTTGCCCATCTCAAAGTGATGTAACGCTCAGGGCTGTGCAGTTATCTCCCCACCACACATCCTGCTGTGTTCCTGACAAGACATATTAGACCTTGTGAAAAGGGTTATGGTGTAAAAAGCAGGATTTGCCTTCTGCAACCATTCATCCATAAGGTTTGTCTTTGTAAAATGAGGAATGGCTTCATTTTTATGAGCCTGGGCTAGGAGTGAGGAAGGCTGAAGAGAGTGGAGAGAAAAATGAAAGTCAGCTCTAGAAAAGCTAAGAGCCACTAGTGGGTAATAGAAACCTAAGATAAATTTCTTACTGCAATTCTCCCTTAAATTAAATTCTCTTTTGTGTCTTATGTCACTTAGAGGCTGCTAACTTTTATGCTCTTCCAGGACCATGATGAAGGACAAAATAGGACTAGGAGGTGAATTGTTCTGGGTTCTAGTCCTGCCTATCTTGTTTAGTATGTCTGTATGTTCCTAGGATGAAGATAATGTTAATCTAGCTTTGCAAATTATTTCTTCAGTGGACCAGCCCCACTGGGACCAGCTGGGTGCCAGGGAAGCTAAATGCTGCCTTGGAACCTCCTCTGACCACCAGAACCTTCTTTAACCAGGGATTGGCAGTTATGATCTACAGGCCATATCTGGCCCTGGACCTGTTTTTGTAAATAAAGTTTTATTGGAACCAGCCACACTGCTTCATTTAAATATTGTCTAGGGCTGCTTTTGTGCTGTCGGTGAAGAGTTGTGATAAAGACTGTAGGGCCCACAAAGCCTAAAATATTTACTATATGTCACTTTACAGAAAAGTTTGCCAACTCTTGTCTCAAACAGTATACCTGTTTTTCCTATATAAAGATCAGTTTCAAACGTGTGTAATATAAACCTCAGAAAATTCTAAGGCGGTAAAGAAAATGAACAAGCCTGTAGTCCCACTTATATTTTAAGGCAAAAGAAAAGAGAGTCACCTGCTTCCAGTCAGTTCTCAATCTTTGTAGAACATGGTCATGTGTGAATCCAGCTTCTCCACCCCCACCATTGTCAGGTGATATGTTCGGTAGACATAAGCTAATTTGAATTGACATAAAACCTTAACTGTTAGGCAAATTTGCCCCCTCTCGTCTCTTAACCTGTTTCCCCCAACCTGACAGCCCACAACTGCGGTGAACACATTTCACAATCAGATGTAAATTACTTTAGGCTTATCTCCTGTTTTGAATTTTTTTCATTACCTTGTATTTTTCTGAACAGATTAAGGAGAGCTGGCAGTAGTCGTGGTTGCCCTAAAATATTGGCTTCCCCACGGGGACATAAGAAGGGTAGTTTATATCAAATGTCGATTAGGTTCCCCAGGATGGCTGTTTCGTAAATACAAGGCTGCAGTGCTTATATTATTAAATTGTTAAACGCCTTTCTTTGCAATGCTTTGAAAACTTATTTCTTGGGGGATGGGTGTTTAGATAGGTCTGGAACCATAAAAAGGAGGTTGCATATTAGAGTCCCTAAGAGAAAGCCCACAGCAAACTAGTCTACAAGGCTACTAGTGCCAGAAACAGGCTGGAGATTAGAAGAGAGTTCCAACCTTTCCATGCCAAGGCATCATCTTGCTATAATGAGGCCTGGGGGTGCAGTTAAAACCCTTTAAGAGCTACAATTGCCCTTCTAAAACCTGTGATTGAGGCAGCTTCTGTTTGGGAAGCATTAAAACACCAGACACTTCCTAGCCCAACACTGCTAACTGTTGCTTTTGACAGCTTTGCCAGCACCAGGCACATACATGGTCAGCAAAATGCACTGCTGAAGCATCTGACTCTTAAATGTTATCACCAGTGATGACATCCTTGAAATTGGGGGCTAGCTGCTTAACTGCTTTATCTCTTTGGTACCCAAAGGAGTGTGAGTCCATGTGTTCTTCAGTATTTTGGATAGCAAAGGATTATATAGTACGAGAAGGTCTCACTTATATAACATGGAGCTAAGAGATCTTAAACCATTTGAGGTCAGTGTCAGAGGGGTGAGAACAACAGTGGGCTGTGATGGCAAGAGGACATTGTTCTCTCACTTTCTAGACATATAGATCTTTAGAAAGTTGGAGGCAGTAATGCAAACCTTTCATAGTGATGGTGCTAATTTAGGTGTTACCACAATGGTTGGTGGGCTTTAATAGCCAAGAGAACACTATGCCTGTATTTTCTGCTGAATTCAGTTTATTTTGAATGGTGTGATGGGCATCAGGGCCACACTATTCCTTGATCTTGGAAGAACTGTTAGAGCATCTTCCTCCAGATTCTTAGATGACTCACATAGAGCCTTCCTGCTAAAGGATTCAGACTTTAGGGTGTGGCATGTTCTGAGGGGCAGGTCTGGTTATGGAGTTCTTACTGACACTATCACGTTTGACTCTAGCTGAAGTGTTCTGACTAGACCTGCCTGGGCTTACCCTTACTCCACAGGCAGTTTGGAGCCTTTTAATTAATTAATTAATTAATTAATTTTATTTTTATTTTTATTATTTTTTTGAGACAGAGTCTCACTGTGTCACCCAGGATGAAGTGCAATGGCACGATCTCGGCTCACTGCAACCTCTGCCTCCCAGGTTCAAGCCGTTCTCCTGTTTCAGCCTTTCAAGTAGCTGGGACTACAGGCGCCTACCACCACACCCGGCTAATTTTTGTATTTTTCGTAGAGATGGGGTTTCACCATATTGGCCAGGCTGGTCTCAGACTCCTGACCTTGTGATACACCTGCCTCGGCCTCCCAAAGTGCTGGGATTACAGGCGTGAGCCACCGCGCCCAGCTTATTTATTTATTTTTTGGAGACAGACTCTTACCCTGTCACCCAGGCTGGAGTGCAATGGCACGATCTTGGCTTACTGCAACCTCCACCTCCAGATTCAAGCATTTCTCCTGCCTCAGCTTCCCAAAAAGCTGGGATTACAGGTGTGCACCACCATGTCCAGCTAATTTTTTTGTATTTTTATTAGAGACGGGGCGGGGGATTTCACCATGTTGGCCAGGCTGGTCTCCAACATCTGACTCAGGTGATCCACCCGCCTTGGCCTCCCAAAGTGCTGGGATTACAGGTGTGAGCCACCACACCTGGCCCTGGAGCCCTTTTAAAGCAATGGAAAGGAAAACCTTATGTGTCACTCCCAGTTCTGAGCAAAGGTAGATGCTCACCAGAGAGTGAGTTAGTGAGAATGGATAGTCTCTTCTTGGGTTAGTAAGCTCTGCCGTCCTTTGAGATGCATGTTACCCTTCTTTGTCACAGAAGTGGGAACAGGGAAGAGTGGAAGCAAAGAAAGGATGGGTGGGAAATCTGGTCAGTTCCCCCCTTTGTCTAGGTTCAGTCTTCACAGAGAGCTCCATTATTTGGTTAGCAGGATATGAATTAACCAAACATTAGCCAAATCTACTCACATTATTAGGTCAAAAACAAATCCTGATCTCAGAAAGGGAAGAGTTGTGGATGATATTTGAAATTTCTAAGTTATCTGCGCCCCAGTTTTCTCCAGTTTGTGGAGCTCATGAAGGGGCCGTTGTTGGCAACATCTGGATGGTGGGAGGTTCTCGTAACAGCTGGCTGCTAGTGTTCAGGCTCAGCTCATGGTCCCCACCAAACCTCCTGGTTTGGAAAACTCTGCCTGGCACTGTGCTTTCCCCTCAGGGGCACTACAAAGCTGAATGCCTAGCTTTGCAGTCATTTAAATGCTTCACCTTAGGCCCACATACGCCTTGATCGACCCTTACTGTGTGGGAGCACTGCAGCTAATCAAGGGTGGCTTTAATGAACTTAAAAGAATGCTATCGAAGTATTTCATAATAGAAAAAGTTCAAATCCAGGCCCTGAGGGACCTGGAACTGAAGTCCAGGCCATGTGCAGACATTTACCCTGCCCTGTTCAGGCATACAGGTTTGTGGATTTGCTCAGGAGCCCTCGAGAGTTGCTGGGGGAGTGGAGGAGGGATGGAGTGCCTTTAGCTCAGCTCTGCGTACATTAGCAGTTTGAGCTCCCAGCTCCCTAGTAAAAGGGGTGGAGGCTAGGGGAGGCCTGGGAATACTCGGAGGGTTTTGGTTGCTCTGAAGCAGCTGGCCTGTGATCAAGGGTTAAGGAGTTTTCTCTCAAAGACTGCCTGAATGTGGCTTCTTAGATGATGGATGGTATTTGACAGAACAAAGCTGTAGGTTTGGGGTGCCTCTTCTCTCTCTCTCTTTTTTTGAGGCAGAGTCTCATTCTATATCTCAAGCTGGAGTGCAGTGGCGTGATCTCAGCTCACTGAAACCTCCACGTCTCTGGGTTCAACCAATTCTCCTGCCTTACCCTCCCAAGTAGCAGGGACTACAGATGTGAGCCACCATGCCCAGCTAATTGCTGTATTTTTAGTAGAGATGGGGTTTTACCATGTTGGCCAGGCTGGTCTTGAACTCCTGACCTCAAGTGATCCCCCTGCCTTGGCCTCCCAAAGTGCTGGGATTACAGGTGTGAGCCACCGCCCCCAGCCTTTGTCTCTTTCTTTTTTTTTTTTTTTTTTTTTTTTGAGAGATGGGGTCTAGCTCTGTCACCCAGGTTGGAATCCAGTAATGCCATCATAGCTCACCATAGTCTCCTGGGCTCAAGCCATCCACGGGGTGCCTCCTCTCTGACTCTGAGCTCCCTATCCTGTAAACGAAGGATGACTTTTCCAGGGAAGCCATGTTTGTTAGGGGCAGCCTAGTTCACCCCCAGCTCTGCCACTTGAGTCCCTTATCATCTGATCCTAAATGAAGACATGCAGGAGAGCACCAAGATATTACATCCTCAAAGGTCAAAGGAAGGATTAATGTGCAACTCTAAAAGCAGATTGCTAACACATCCATAAGTGAATAAAATATAAATTCAAGCTGGAGGAGGCAAAGAATGAAGAAATACTCAGTGTTTGGTGAGGTTAATTAGAGAAAACTACTGGGATGTTTTGAGAAGGCTTTAAAAAAAAATTGTCAATATATTATTCTCCCTAAGGTTAAATTAAGTTTTTACACTCTCCTTTCCTTTCCCTTTCAAAAGTGACATTGTTTCGCCTTGTCTAGTCAGCTATATTCCTTATTTTTCTCAAACCTCTTGAGTCCCTTCTGCCCTATACTGGAAATTGTGTGCCTGCCTTTTTAAGAGTAGGCACCTCATGTTTCAAGTTCAAGTGCAATGGAACTCACCCTGCAGCTTGAACAGATTTGAGTGTTTTTGCAGAGGGAGGGCCAGGGCAGATGGGGAGTGTCATGCTCAATAAATACTTGTTGGATTGAGTTGCTGGGGAGGCAGCAGAGTGGGGAGAGTAAGCCACACCTCCCCCAGGCTCACTCAGAATGGTCTTTCCCACTTCTGGTCCCCACATACTGTTCCCCCTCTGTAATACCTCTCTTCAGCTACTTACAAGGCAAAACCCCCTGAAGTGTTAGTATTCTTTCTTTCCTTAAATCACTGGTCGCCTATTCATCCTGGTCATTGGGCTTGAAGCCCAGCTGGTGGCAAAGACGTGGCATTTCCATAGATGTCATTGCTAGGCCTGTAGGTTCTTTTCCCAACACACTTACAGCTAGAGGGTGAGCTTGGGCAGTTACCAGGTCGATCCATGGAAACAGCCAATGTGTAGGATTTTGTTATGATTTTGTTAAAAAGCCAGACTGCCTGGCTTTAGGCTTTGAAGTGGATATGGTGAGAGGCCAAGGAGACCAAGATGAATGCTAGCTGTCTTTTCACTCCAGGTAGATTTGTGCCAACTTCCTAGTAGTGTTCTGTGTAGCAAGGAGATGGAAGAAAACAAAATCTGGATCAGTGGCTTTTCTAGGCCAAGGAGGAGAATTATCTGTTGGCCCTGTGATGGCTTCAGAGGTGTGATCAGGCTGGAAGTGCCCCCTCTCAAGCCAGCCACCATCCTGTGATAGCAGGCACTGCTATTTCTCCTCCCACCAACCACCAGATAGGGAAGTGCAAGAAAGAGATGCTTGTTATCAATTCACAGGCCCTGGACACTTAACACTGTTGTCCACAGAGTCTCTGTTCCCTGCCTT